GCGAGATTATGGTCACGGAGCAACATTTTTGAAAGAATTGGTACGAAATGCGAATTTTTGAAATTTTCGATATTTCAACGTTCGATTCCGGAAAAACTGTTACATTTATCAAAGAAACGATGCCGGAAGTGAGTTCTAGAGCTCGAAATCTACAAGAAAATGTATTTAGTTAAGTTTGGAAAATATCAAAAAAAAATTTCACTTTTAAAAAAGTTGTCTAAAAATTGCGAAAAAATTCAAGGACGTAGATATCGACATGCTGATTCCAAAAATATAACGTGTTGATGGTCACGGAGTAACATTTCCGAAAGAATCGGTACGAAATGCGAATTTTTGAAAATCTCTAAAAATTTGGATATTTCAACGGTCGATTCTGGAAAAATGGTTACACTTATCAAAGAAAGGATGCCGGAACTGAGTTCTAGAGCTCGAAATTTACAAGAAAATGTATTTAGTTAAGTTTCGAAAATGTCAAAATTTAGCCGAAATTTGAAGAAGGGAGGACCACTGAAAAAAATTCACTTTTAAAAAAGTTGTCTAAAAATTGCGAAAAAATTCAGAGATGTAGATATCGACATGCGGATTCCAAAAATGTAGCCTGTTGATGGTCACGGAGCAACATTTTCGAAAGAATCACTACGAAATGCGAATTTTTGAAAAGTTCAAAAATTTCTATATTTCAGCGGTCGATTATGGAAAAACGGTTGCAGTTATCAAAGAACCGAGGCCGGAATTGAGTTCTAAAGCTCTAAATTTACAAGAAAATGTATTTAGTTAAGTTTCGAAAATGTCAAATTTTGGCCGAAATTTGAAGAAGGGGGGACCATTGAAAGAATTTCACTTTTAAAAAAGTTTTCTAAAAATTGTGCAAAAACTCAGGAATGTAGATCTCAACATACTGATTCAAAGAATATAGCATTTTGATGGTCACGGCGCAACATTTTCGAAAGAATCACTACGAAATGCGAATTTTTGAAAAGTTCAAAAATTTCGATATTTCGGCCGTCGATTATGGAAAAACGGTTGTGGTTATCAAAGAACCGAGGCCGGAATTGAGTTCTAGAGCTCGAAATTTACAAGGAAATGTATTTAGTTAAGTTTCGAAAATGTCAAAATTTTACCGAAATTTGAAGAAAGGGGGACCATTGAAAAATTTCACTTTTAAAAAGGTTGTCTAAAAATTGCGAAAAAACTCAGGAATGTAGATCTCAACATACTGATTCACGTAATATAGCGTGTTGATAGTAACGGAGCAATATCTTCGGAAAATTCGGTGTGAAAATCAAATTTTTCGAAATTTTTAAAAATTGGGATATTTCAATGGACGATTATAGAAAAATAGTTATCGAAGAAATGAAGCCAAGAGTGACTTCTGCGGCCCAAAATTTTGCAAGAAAATTTATTAAGTTAAATTTCGAAAATCGTCGAAATGGAAAATTTCATTCTTGAAAAAGTCATCAAAAAATTCTGAAAAAATTCAGCGCTATAGATCCCGACGTGTTGATTCCAAAAATCGTGTTTATGGTCACGGAATAATATTTTTTTCGAATGTATTTATTATCATTGTTGCTTAAGAATACTTTATTTCTGTTTAAAAAAATTAATTATTTCTTGAGGTTTGTTTTCAGCAGTGTATGAAGTTGTTATTGAATTCCCTTTCAGATTTTTGGAAAATTCGCTGATCCGAACAAATCGCTAATCCGAACACACCTTTTCCCCAATTAAATCGAATTATCGAGGTTCTACTGTATATTAATAAAAAAAGGCAAAATATAATTAATAATAATTAATAATAATTAATAATAATTAAATAAATTAAAAAATTGAATAACACGATGGTCAAAAAAAAGTCGTACAAGGTAATTTCTGGTAGACAGAAACAATAAAAATTTTGCATTTAAATTCCGCTCCTTTGGCTCTCGACGATTATAAAAAAATCATTACAATTGAGATAGGGTGGGTGGGCGGGGCTTATATTTTGCCTGGTTTCTTAATTTACGTAGTTGTCTTTTCACAACAAGTAACTTAAAACATGTTTAGAATGGTAAATTCTTGTAGACAAATATCGATATTGCAATTAAGCCCCGCCCCTCGATCTAACAACGAATGAAAAATTCATCACAGTTGAGAATTGAGATCGGGGCGGGTATGGGTGGGGCGTAATCTTCGGCTTTATTTTTTCCTTAATATACCTACATAGTATTCTTTGAACAAACTCTTTCCCATTGTCTCGAGACGAATAAAGATAAATCATCAGAATTGAGATAGGGTGGGTGGGCGGGGCTACAGTTTGCTTTTTTTTTCTTAATATGTGTAGACTTATTTCGACAAGAAACTTAAAACATGCCTAAAATGGTAAATTTTTGTAGTAATCAACTTAAATACTCCATTTTTCTTCTATCACCCCTTTAAATACGGCAAAAGTTACAACTCACCCTTATTTTAACCTATTTGGAATATGGAGATGCACGTTTTCCGTTTCCGTCGATCTGTCTGTTATAAATTTAAACGAATTTGATGACTGTCGTAAAAATTTTAAAACTGGTGACCGTAAAAAACTGTCAAGGTAGTGACAAACGCGTTGACGTTTGTTTCAAACTTTTTCGGTGCATATCATACTAAGGAATCAAATAGAAGAATTCAGACATTTTGGAAATCGCGCAGACCTAAATAAATAGAAAAATATTCTAAGGTAATTTATGCAGAATTTCGCCCGCCCCTGAAGTATGGTCTAACAAATCTCGTTTCTTGTCTAGGGTAAAAAATAGAAGCGGATCCATGAACCACAAATACAGAAGTATGTTATTTTATAAAATTTGAGTAGCACAGACACACAGACAAATATTTGTTTTGTGATAACCTCTACATATTAAAAAATATTGATGATACCAGCGACACTTAAAAAAATTGGAACAAATCGAGTTGTCACTGTGATAAAAGTCAAGGCAAATTCATAAACGATGAGTACAGGATAACCTTAACTACGCAAAATAGTGAGGAGACGTCATCAACTTGTAGGTGGGGATAATTAAACAAATTCGGGTTAGTTTTTTACCATCTACACGATATTTTTAAGATATACAGGGCGAGTTATTAAGCGCGCGGTCCTCGACATCTCATTAATTTATTATAGATAGAAAAAACGTCGAAGAGCAAAGTTGTACGATTTTTGAAGACTATACTCTAAAATTATTTTTAAATATACAGAATGTTCTGTTTTTAAGGCGCAACTTTATGAAACAGTAGGCTTTATAACCACAGTTTATTTTTGAAATTCTGTGCAGCGTTGCTACGTTATTCCAAATGTCTTGAATTTTTTGGGAAGGGAAGGGTTTATAAAAAAAATTACAATAGGGTTCCTCCAAGAATCGTACAACTTTAGTCTTTAAGGAACGGAGCTTAGTATATAAAATTTAACAATTGGTCCGGTAGTTTCGGAGATTGTCCTTTTAATAAAAGTCGACACAAACGACAGACAAACGGAAACGCGAAACCTACATTTTTATACTCTTGGGGTTATGAAAAAAAAAGTTACCAATCACAGTGTAAGAAAAGAAATTATTGATGATATTACTAGAGAAGGTTGTCATTCAATTTGGATTTTTTTGCGAGAATCTGGATACATAGGGTAACAACTCAGGGCGAATTCATAAACCACAAATATAACAAACCTTAGTTTACGCTCGGAAAGTTGTGATCAATAATATATTCATATATTTTTTATAGTTGTTGAAAGTGAAAAGTTTTATCTATATTTATAGACCTCCATCTTTAAAAATGGCGGTAAAATTAATTAAACTTTTAATATACCAATTATATTGTTCTAGTTTTATCTGAATGGTTCACATTTTTGTGCTTACGGTTGGTCATTAGTTCATTATCAATTTAAAAAATAATTTGAAGCTAAAATCACTGTTAAGGTTGACTAATCTGCGTGCATAAAATAGCTGTGTAATTACTATACCTTCCTTAGCAAGTGTTCGCAGTTTATCTAAGGAATTAGAAACAAATCTAAAGCGATATGGGCGGAAATGATGCATACCCATAACAATAATTTTAGATTAGGCTTATTAAAATTGCGTACTCACGAGTAGTTTCAAGGTTATCTATCCAAATCTAGGAGTAGCATTCTAAATTTTCATTCAACGATGAAACAATTAAGTAGTCTATTAAACTCATTCAGAAATATTTCATTTGAATGTCAAACCAACAATGAGACTATTTTTATTCAAAAGACAAAAGTGTGTTACTATCACTTGTTTTACGGATTCATTACCACTCTAAGAAAAGAATTCGAAAATCGGAAGTAAGACATGGTAAACGAAAGAATTCAACCGTGAAAGCTGCTTCTCTTTATTCTGAACAGTAGACAAGAAAATTGTTAACAAAATTTAAATCTAAGTAGAGCTCTAATTTCTTAACGCGTGCCGCTTATGCATTTATAGTTCCTTTTTTCTGAGCCGGATTCTAGGTTACTTGTTACTTCCCGCGCAGTCACAAGGGAAGATCGTAACGGGGTCATTTAACAAATCAACTAAAACTCCTAATCCATCCAGGCCGGAAAGTCCATGACGTCATTTTAAAATCCCGATTATATTTAATCGTGCGGTATTGGACCGTATTGGTTGCGCTCCGGAAGTGCAGTCGGCACGATTTACGAAGGCGGAAACCCTCCATCGATTAGCAAGCGGCGTTCCCGAAAGAAGCAAATAATCGAAAACATAAAAGTGAGTTTACAATTGATCGTAGTTTCGCCTGCAGGTTGTATGCGGAAACGGCTTGAACGCGTGGTCAAACCGAAGATCCGTTGCAGGTGTATAATCGCGTTCTCTACTTTAGGGTAGTGGCGCCGCATCGGCTAACACCTCTGCAAACGAAACAGGTACTTAAATCCAATCCGCATTCCACGTAGGTATGGTACTACCTTAATCCAATCCCCCTCTATCTAAGAGAGTAGAGGCTGAATACCGCTATGCTATTCCGCACTTTTTACCTGTCAGTACCCACTCAGTAAAGGCAGTGAGCGAGCGAAAGTCGCGCGTTAAACAAAATGTTAACAGTACTGCTGTAGTATAGTATAGTTTTTTCTCGTGAGTGCGTGTGTGTGGTGGCTACTAAACACGGAATTAAGACTTCTTCCTTCGTACCACCAAAGGAGTTACGCTCTGCTGGAGCCACAAGGAACCAAGGCGGAAGAAGTGCGCTTTGTACTGTGGAAGACACTTTTGATGGCACTTGCTACATGTAAGAATTGCGATCTGCCGAATAACATCTTCCCGGTACGCACAAAAAATTCCGCATCGTGCGGATACTGCGTGATACATAACTATGTCACGCTGGATTTAAAACCCTCGTCGGTACTTTAAACAACAAGAGTACCACGTTTCGGGAAAAAATTCGCGCTAACTGAATCAGTACGGTTTTATTATTCATCTTACCATATTATTACCCACACAGGAAGCGCGTTCACAAATAAACGACTTTACTATACAGGGTGCTAAATACTAAATACCACTTAAGTTTTAACTAATAACATTAACCGAAGTCGTAAAAAATCCATATCCGGGCTAACGGACACCACATTAACTTATATGTAATTTTCTGTCATCATCAATGTGCATCCAAGTTTACAACCGAATTCGACCAGTCTCTCGATCTGCTTGACCCAAAAATTACCTTAATTTGATTTTTTGTACGACTTTTTACCAATAATTGTCTAGCACCTCGGAGCTAAATTTCGATAGCACAGTTACTGCACTTAAAAACGCATCCAGATAATAACTGTTGTATCAACCGTGAAACTTCAGAGCTAAGGACAAGAAGCCATTATCTAATTAGTCGTTCCAACGTGGTTTACTTTTTTTTGACAGTTGCTGTTGGTTTCTAATCTCAGTTTCTCCTCTGATGGAGAGAGACCACGTAGGGTTTTAACGACATTTTGCTGTTGTTTTTTTTTTTATTTACATTTGGAAGGGGAGTATTGAGGTGAACCATTGATAGTAGCATGTCAAACGACGACAAATAATAGTTAAATGTGTAAGTCAAGTGTGAAAATCAAAGAACGAGTTATAAATAACAACCACGAGGAAACCACATAATTATTTTTCACTTTCTGCTCATTTCTACACCACTGGAAAATGATTATATAACCGATTTTGTTATGTTGGTGTCCACATTACGTAGAGTTGCGGAAGTGGTTTATTAGTATGGTGTCCACCCTGTATATTAAGGTATGCTAATTTGGCTTATAACTCGTCCATATTAAGTAGCGGTCATTAAAAATAAAACAGAGAATAGTATGCAAGGCATTCCTTTGTCTTCCTCTGTAACGTGCCAGTAGCATTATAAAGATGAAAAGCTAATATAAATTATTGTAGCAGCTATGGTACCTCTCTGGTCTCTTGTGATCTTGACCAGTAAATTTAACTGTAACACGAAACAAATTCATGCACAATAAGTCAGGAATGTCTTTCGAAAAGTGTCATTCACTTTCGAATCTTTTTGTGATTGTTATTGTTGTAATAGAAGATGGTATGAGAATTACTTTCAAAAATCTTTGACCTTTATTTGTGAATTAAATCCATAGATTTCTCGATGACTGCGTGCTGTACAGTTAACATTAATTAAACATTCTGTCTTAAATACATTCATAATTGAATTACATTTGCACTGCATAATATATAGAACAAGACGTTTTTGCGGCTTTTAAGAATAATCATGTCAATTGTTTTTGCCGTGCACTAGGTTAAAGTAACGCACACATTATCCGATCATGTGGTTTTATTGCCGGAATTATTTACATTGTATGGTACTTACGGCTAGTTAGCGTCACAATCGTTTATGGTGCAAGAAACCTCCCCTGCTGTAAAATGGGTAAACAAATCATTACGGACTGATATTAACCAGAACCGGTCTTTTGCTACAAAAAGATAAGTGTAAGAGTACGAGTCAAGACGTGAGTTGTACAACTGAGAACTAACACAATAGAAAGGGACCGTTTACCTGAACGATTCCTTCGAAAGGTTACAAAGGGCCCTACATGTATTTCTCAAAAGGTACAGGAATTTACAATCTAAAAGTTAAAGAGCTTAAGGCTAAGTTATAGACCCTTGGTCGGCAAGTGGTGAATTTGTCTACCTGTTATTTATAACTACCTAAATTCGGTGATTGTTGGCCTTATAGTGCAGCGGTAAATATAAGGAAATGATTAGGTCGTTGATAGCAGCCAATAAAAGCCCGTCTGTCATCTATTTTACGATTTTAGCCCCTACGGTAGGTAAATTTGAACCGTAACACGGCGTTTCTTCCGCTTCGAACTTAAAAAGCCTGAATTAAGGACGTGATAAGTAAATATTTTATCTTAAATGCGCTATTTCGTAGGTTTGACCCTCTTCCAAGTCATGCGCATTTCCTAGCGCATGTAAACGAAGTAAGTGACGAAAGCTGTAAATCGAGGAGGGACATCATGTTGAGCAATTTACCGGCAAAACGAGAAAATAAATATTCCGTTATAGGAAGTGGAAATTTGAATGCAATGTGGGAACGAGAAGAAAGGTCTAACAGTTGTAAAACAATTAAGGTTTTAAAAAGTCATTGTAAAATTTGTTAAGGCTCCAAAGCCTGTGTTGCAAGACCGCTGCAAAGATAGCCAGATATGCAAAATAGAAAGTATTGTTTTAAAAACATTATCGTCTATTTGAGTGATCCTGTAATTATAGACTGTTCTAAACAATGCTAGACTTTCGCAATGGTAATAACAATTATTCCAGAAATTGGCCGGCTTTGCGCAAAAATGCGAAAATGAGGAATTGCGTGAGGTTTGCTGAATTTATGAGTCCTTAATTTTAAATTTAATTTCTACGTTATCAAGATTCTACCTTACGTTTGTTATACGGCGAATAATTTGCTCCGGGCTCGTTTACCAAATAAAATATATTATCCTAATTTATCGCCACATATATTCACCGAAAATTATCAATCCGTCGCATGAAAGAAAATCCTTGTTTTTGGGATACCAAACTACGAAAGTACCACACCTCGCCTGCCGCTTAAAAACACTCCCTGTAAGAGTCACGACAAAATTGACCTGAATCTGGTAGAAATTTTATTGGCATCAGATTCAATGTTATCGATAATAGTGGATGGGTTTATTATACAGGTGAATTGAAAGTTTTACTTTCAACGGAAAACGTGTCTTCATTACCATAATATTTAATATCAATAATCTGTCATACAAGATTTTCATTTTAACCTATCGGGCAAACATAAATCGTTGTGTAAAAACAGCGAATATTAAAGGGGGCTGATTTTATTCAAACTTTGGACAGATATTTATTTCAAGCCACAAATTACTACAAACTTCGACATAATAACAAGAATAGTGACGTCCACGCTATCGTTTATGCATTCATCAAGTCTCTATGTTTTCCAGTGGGGATAAATCTGGTGATCCAGCGGCTTTAAAAAAGTTGTGCTTATCATAGAAGCGATTTGACTAGGCTAGATCTACATTAAGGGTAACCCACATACATTTCTAAAGCTATAATTACAGACCTGTAGATAAAATGGGAGTATTGTGGCGTACACAAATTTAAGTTGCCTTTTCTGAATGAAGCTTTATCTATTACAATTACTTATAAATAACTTTTTTGCTACAGTTCTACATTTCTTTGGTACGAGAAAGCTTCAAATTGGCTGTGATTTGATCGATGTGTGTTCGATGTTTCAAAACTTCTAAACATGTATATTTCATCTCCGTGTACTAAAACATGCTTGTGGAGAATTCGGCAAATAGCTACGTTGCGTCAATAACCTCTAAACCATCGCAACCGTTAAAACCAATGTTGCGACAAATTAATAAACGGCAATAGCAGAAACACTTTTATTTGCTTTGTACATTAACGGGACAGATATAATTAACTTAAAAAACAAAGACGTGTATAACGCTACGTCAACGCTAAAAAAATCAATCGTGGCCCCTATTGCGTTTTTCAGTTTTAAATCGAAATAAATATTTCTGTGAAATACACCGTTTTTAAATTAAGGTTATATAATCAACAGACTTGAATCGATTATAATTCATAGGAATACATGCATGGCCGACGTTTTAAGTGAAAAATGTTGCTCGATTAAGGCATTCGCTTCTTTTTATTACCCAACTGAGATTGGCGCACACTTTGGGAAATAAATTCCAGTATTTTCCAAATTTTACGGTGTTGTTTACGCAAATGTGTTAACAGTAATTTCGCATTTCGTTTCAATCATTAACTTGCTCACCGTTTATAGGACCACAAATTTTGTCAAACTGATTTTATCGTGAGTAAATTCTACGTTGTAGTGTATAGTAGTCCAAGAGCATTTCTTGCTTAGATTTAGATATTTGGTGAAAGCCGCCCCTGAACGAAACGACAACAGACTTTATTCACGACCCTAAAACCATTGTAAACAACATATAACTTTATATCTTTTGGACTACTATACATGTCGTGCTAGAAGGGAGATTATGCGGTCGAGAAAAACTCACAACAGTTTTATATAAAATTGTTTTTATAGACATGGTTGCACTCTAAACGTGCGATTGAATCAAATGATTCTGTGTTGTTCATCTGTTATGTCAGCTTTATTAATACTCAGCTGCGTGTAGCAAAGGAATTTTAATGCGAAACCTATATCTTGCTTAACCAGTCATAATAATAAACAATAAATCGAGTAAATTTTTCAAAAAAGGTGTGCAACTACAAAAAGGAGTTAATCGAATTTCTCGCAACTTTCCCGTGGAAAGACAATTAAGTTCGATATAAAGGGTGTGTCTGCGTAATTTCTCGAACATTAAAAAACTGGTAGGTACGTTTACGGCGATATCGAAATGACGAGAAAGACGTTTTAATTTGGGGCATAGGATGGTTCCGAATACTCTCACTTAAAGGTGTGTATAGCCTAGAGGAACAAATGAAAGTTCCAAAATACATATACTTGCAATATATGACCCACATTAACCGTCAAATCGATCACTTGAGAAAAGTCACTCTGGACATAAATTCCAGCCTTCAGACATGTTAATTTCACTTTTGCGAAAAAAGGCAACCTAGTTCCGTAGGCGAAACGGCTGCTCAGTAGTTTTCTAGTGATCAAACTGAGTCAAGTTGACTACCGCACCGAAAACGTTACATAAGCCTAACTGTAACTCACGATATAGATGTGTATGATTAGAACATTGACCATGAAGTTTAGAAACTGGATTTAAATTTACTAAGTGTTTAAGTAAAAAGTCTGAAGGGGT